CTTCTAAAGAGAAATAAATCACTTCACCGTGCTCCCCGGCAATGGCGCCAAAATTTGGTGGGTTGCCAAACCAACAAAAATAAAAGATTCTATTCCTAACAAATTTAGTAGTATAGTAATGAGTAGAGTCGTCTCCTCAGGGAGTAAGGAAATGAAAATATTTCTAATAAAAAACAAAGTAACTAAATGGGAGAGATTTTGGATTTGTAACCAATGAATAACAAAAATAATTTGCAAGCAATAAAAGATACATTTGGAAAATCAATAATAAGAGCAACTCTAGTCAAAGGAATAATTTCCACCTTGATGTATCCAACTGATCATTGACGCAAAGATTAACTCAACAAATGATGAATATATTAGTTATCGTTGTTAGAACCTCTTAACAACTCAGTCTTTTTATTTAACTACCAGTGACTAAGAAACCTTCATTAATCACTCTATAGCCAAAAAACATTATCTGGAACCTCCTAAGATTTAGTTTTTGACAAGCAAAGACCCAATTCAATTTCTAACAAACAAACCTTGTTTCATTAAAAATTAATTATTTATTCTCACAACACAAGTAAACTACTTACCAAGTAATTATTTGCATTGTCTCTTATAAGGAACAAACAAACCTTGTTGTTCAATAAATTAGATTATCTAGGAGAATTGAATGCTACCAGCTATTCAAATAATGCCAAATAATCATCAAATACACATCAAAGAGAATAAATAAATACTCAAAATTCGTTGGTGAAAAGTAAATAGTTAGATCTCACAATTGAATAACATCAAGACTTCAATAAAATCCTTTAACTAGAAAAAGAGGTTTAGTTGCTAATCATGGTGAAATCAACAACACAAGAATTGATATTTGACATTACAATGCTAAAACTGATAAAAACGGAGAGAAATCCTTGTCCTGAGCTCCAGCCGTCGCTCCCTGTGTTGTGCCTCTTCTCCTCCCTTTCTTAATAATGAAAACAAAGCGTACATATGGTATTAATAGGGCAGCCGTCGTTCAGCCTCTTCAAAATCCACAGAGGGCAATTTAATTTTATTGAATTTGTAGATTGGTCCCTAAAGTTTTCCAAAATTATAAATTGACCCCAAAACTTTGGAAATTTTGCACTTTAGTCAATGTTACAGCGTGCCCACGCGTGAATACAACATCGTTTCTGGACTTTCCTAGTTCCTTCATTGATTTTGGCATGGATTTTGTGTGCCCACGCGGGAATCAACCACTTCTTCTCCAACTTGAAACTTGATTCAATAAAACCTTCCAAATCTCTTCAAAATCAACACTTTTCTTCTTTTTATTCCAAATCCTTCCTATGATCAAATTAAGAACCAAAGCACTAATATTAGCAAAGTTATTATTTAAAACAACACATAAACCACCACAATATCATGCTAATATTAACATTATCAGTTCTCGTGCCCTAAATAAAGTAATCTCTAGTTCTCTTGTTTCTAGTTCACCTTCTAGTTCTCAGTTCATGTTTTGCCATGCTTTTCAACTTGGGAAGCATGTGCGCTTACCATTTGACACTTTTACCTCTCATACTACTTTTCCTTTTGAAATTATACACTCTGATGTTTGGTTTTCTTCTGTTACCTCTCCCACTAGATACAAGTATTATGTGACATTCTTAGATGATTTCACTCACTACTTTTGGATTTTTCCTCTCCGATGTAAATCTGATGTCTTCTCCTGTTTTACTGACTTTTACGCATATGTCAAAAATAAATTCAATGCCTCTATTCGGTGTTTCCAATGTGATTAAGGTGGAGAATATGAAAATCACTTGTTCTGGAATTTCTTTAAAACTCATGGCATTCATCTTTACTTGAGTACCACTGCTTGTTCTTATCAAAATGGTAAGGTTGAACGCCTTAACCATACTATTGTTAATATGATTTGTACCTTACTTTTTCAAGCATCCATGCCTCCACTTTTTTGTTTGAAGCTCTCAACACTGTCACCTATCTTCTTAACTGACTTAACCGCTCTTATCCCATAAATCTCCTTATGAAGCCCTTTACCATACATACCCGTCCTATGACCATTTACGCACGTTCGATTGTACATGTTATCCTAACCTTTCTCATGCTGCTAAACACAAGTTAGAACCTCGTTCTACCTTATGTGTTTTCCTTGGGTATCCAAAGCATCACAAAGGGTACCGATGTCTTGATCTTGCCACTAATAAAGTTATCACATCTCGTCATGTGGTGTTTGATGAGAATACTTTTCCATTTGCTTCCGTTTCTTTCAGTGTATCCCCATCATCCTCATCTACCTCTTCTTTTCGCCCACCTGGGCCTCTAGTTCCCTTTGCTCTGCTCCCAAGGTCTTTTCCTCCTTCCTCTAGTTCTCGTGCTCGACCTATACATTCTCCAACTACCATCGATTCACCAGTTACTATCTCTCCTCCCTCTCCCTCTCTCTTTCCCCTTATTTTGAGTCCTTCTCCTCTTCCGAGTCTTCCAACTACCATCAATTCACCAATTACTTCACCTTCCCATATCCTTCACCCTATGGTCACTCGCAGTCAAGATGGTACTCGGAAACCCAAGGTGATTTTTAATTTAGCTAGTTCTGTTACTAAGCCTCCTTTTAGGCACCTACTACATTCTGTGAAGCTATGAAGCATGATGAGTGGCAGCGAGCAATACATGATGAAATTGCTGCCTTATCTCGGAATAACGCCTGGACTCTTTTTCGCAAACCTTCGGGAGTCAATGTAGTTGGTTCAAAATGGGTTTTTCGGAATAACGCCTGGGCGACTTGCATTATTTTCTTGCTATTTCTATTTTACATACCCATGATGGTATTTTTCTGTCTCAGTCCAAGTACATTTCAAGTCTTCTTGATCACTGTCGTCTTACTAATGCTAATCCAGTTACTACTCTTGTTGATACTAAAGCTAAATTATCTCACCTTGATGGGGAGTTGTATGATGATCCATATGAGTATCGCAATCTTGTGGGAGCCCTTCAGTATATTACATTCACTCTCCTTGATATTGCTTATTTAGTGCAACAAGTTTGTTTGTGTATGCATCAACCTCGGGAGTCTCATTACAAAGCATTGAAGCGTATTCTACGCTATTTGAAGGGGACACTTCATCATGGTCTTTGTTTTCGCTCGGCCCCCTTAAAACGTTAGAGGCGTATTCTGATGCTGACTAGGCTGGTTGTCCTAATACCCATCGCTCCACCTCCACCTCCAGGTACTGTGTATTTTTGGGTCCTAATCTTATCTCTTGGTCTTCTAAGCTGCAACCTATTGTTTCTCACTCCAGTGCTGAAACTGAATATCGAGCGGTTGCTAATGTTGTTTTTGAAGTTTGTTGGCTACACTCTCTACTGTCTCAGCATTGTATTCAGTTACCTACTGCCACCGTTGTCTTCTATGATAATGTTATCATCATCTTCTTATCTACGAATCCAATTCAGAATCAACATACCAAACATGTTGAAATTGATATTCATTTTGTTCGCGAGAAGCTAAGGTTGTTCAAGAGTCTATTCGAGTTCTTCATTTCCCTTCTTCTCACCAATTTACTGATATTATGATTAAGTATTTGCCTCATGTTCTTTTTATAGATTTTCGAGACAATCTGAATGCTTGTGTATCTCCCATTCTGATTGCGGGGAGATGTTAGTGTATATGTATATTAGAGTTAGGGTTATCATTTTAAACTCATATGTATTGTACTCTATATATATATATATATATATATATATATATATATATATATATGCATGTAAACCTAATACAATAGTTAAGGGGTTTTCACACTTTCAATTATCTTATGGGGCTAATTATCGGTGCTGGTATTAATGGAGTAATGATGTTATGTGGTGGTTCTTCAGGTTGCCTAATGATATGCCAAAAGTATTCTGGAAAATCCTTTGCATTTTATCTCTTTCCATAGGTATGGATTCCAGGGGCTCTACAAGAATGAGTTTCAAGACCTCAAATTCGCTGCACCAGAGATAGGAGGAGGATCATCATCAGGATCCTCTTGGATTGATGGTGAAACGATTCTCAGGGATATTTGGCAAGTCGAAATGAGTTATTCCAACTGGATTGATCTTGCCATCTCGTGTAGGATTTTGTTCGTTTCATTTCTCAAATTTGGAGAAAAAATCAAACCTGTTGTCACTTAAACCATATACTATCTTGGTTCCGAAGAATTGGATCTTCTAGTCTAGGATTCGAATTTGAGGAACTAGTCTTATTGTTCAATCACGGTTCTTTTGTTTTGGACCTTTTGGTAGTTTGGCTGAATTGAAGAACTGAGTAAGGTTTGATTTGTAATTCTACATAGGTTTCGGATGTCTAAAAGTCCTTACATTTTAGAACTATTTACCAGTTGTATGCGTGTTACATTTCTACTATATGTATCTCTCAGATTTAGAAAGTGGACATTTCAATCTTTGTTTTTTGAAATGTATTGAATATGAAAAAAAATTTGTTATTGGTATTTTCATTATTATAATCCTTATTAGCAGAGCAAAAATTAGAATAATTCAAATATGTTGTTTCCGGATGCACTTTTGAAGCAATATGTGATGTTGTGATGTATTCAACTGATTCCATTTTTTTCTTTTGGTCCTATTTGGCGCACATGATGTTTGACGTTATTATTTGGACTAATGTGAATTTAACTGAATCTCTACACAAATGACATCACAAATATAAAGATGACTTTTCTCATGATGCAAATTTTCACCTCTTACCCAATGACACAACCCAGTAAGCACTGAGCAGACCTCAATGATACATATTACAAATCAATACACAAGAAGTTTAATTACATGACCCCCACAAAAAAATTTAAGAAATTACAAAAGTATATATATCAGTTCATTCTCTATGAAACTGAATCTCTTCTTCAACTCTGATGAGCATTCAGCAAATCCCAAAATAACAATAATAACAAAAAAGAAGTGTCGGATTTCACAGTTTATGAAATGGTTCAGAAATGTTGGGTCTTCACTCTTCAAGCAGTATAATACAGGGGATTTGGAAGCTTAAATGTTCTTTTAGCAGATGGAGATCCTTCAATGCTGCTCCATTGGTCACCCAAAATTCCCCAAAGGCGGTACCCTTTGCTAATCAATTGCTTCCTCACATCAGCTTTGTAACTCTGCACATCCTTGCTGGCATCATCTGGTCCCCTGCATCAACAAAATAATCAAAAGAAAAAAAAAAAGCAGAATGATTAAGAGACTTCAAAAGATGATAATGCATTGAATCAATGGAAAGAAATTTGATTTGTTCTTGAACCTTAAGTAAAGGCTAGTCCATCCAAAAATTCCCTCATTGACAAGGTTATCAACAGTTGCAGATCTGAGGCATTCATCTCTTGAAGAAACCAAAATGATCTGAACTCCCAACCCTTTTAGCTCATTGAATAGCTTCAATGAGTGATCCAATACGGGTGCTTTGCTAAGATACATCCACTCCTCAAGAGAAGTAGAGTTCAATTTGTTTCCCCTGTTTTTCATATCAGCATCAGACAATGTCACAAAACATATATACAATCATTGTTTGTTTAGGAAACAGAGAAAATGACTGACCCGAAACCATTTTTCTTGTAGTAAGGGACAGTGGAAAGAAGGGTGTCGTCGACATCGAAAATCCAAGCATCTTTGCCATCTTTCTTCAGATTGCAGCTTGTGCTGAGATAAACCAATGCTTCTTGAACTGTCCTCTCAGAATCAACTTTGTACTGAGTTGATGTCATGTATTTGCCAATGTAGGCAACACATTCATCAGGGACAACTGCAAAATCCCTGATGTTGTGTATCTCCACATTCAGCCTCCAGCTTTCACAGTAATTCTTGAGAGTAATATCAACCAACCCTTTTGAGCCTAATCTCCAATTCTGCTTCAGGATGTTCCAATCTCCAAATGCAGAGCCCAGAAGGAGGCAAAAGATTGCTGAGAAAATGCCAAGATTTATTGCCATTTTTTTTCTTACACCTGCAATAAACCAGAAGCTGAGACTCTGAAGATTGAGGTGTTGATGAAATTGATCTGGTTTGAGCAGGTATTTATTCATGGTGGAAGGGGCAAGTCAACCAGATGAACATGGGTAGTGGGCAATGAGGGGGAATGGCTCATCTTTTTTCTTTTTTTTTTAATTATCATTTTCACATGGCTGATGGATGGATATAAACTAATTTCTATCTGTCCTGTTTCAAAATCATAAATGAACCAATGTTCATATGTCTCAATATAGTCACGTATACTAATGATTTTGGTGGTTGAACATTTTCATCGCATCATCTTTTCACATTTTGTAGATTAGTTTTAGTTTCAATGACAACGCAAATGATTGAATTTTGTATGTATAATCATTGTGTATGGAGTAAAATGATGCCATCTTACTAACTTAAGCCGTGTAAATATATCTCACTCATACTAAATCGTAGTAAGATATACTTTCTCTGTCTCAAAATTATTATCTAGTTTGAGATTTCACTTTTAGTACAATTTAAACTTGAAATGAAAACTTAAACTGGATAATAATTATGAGACGAATGGAGTAATTTATTAAAGTGAAGGAAAGAAGGAAATATGTCATTTTGTTCATCGGTATGGAGGATGGACCGTAAAAAGGAAATTTCTCCAGTCCCCACGGTCAGATCTTATGATTTTGTTCTTCTTTTGGCAACCAAAATTGTTTAAAGTGCTAGAATCAAATATAACGTGGGCTCCATGAACTGGCGTTGATCATGGTGATATGCAAATGACCCAATCTACTAGTATTTAGTACTGCTAATAAGTCTGCAATGATCTATCAATCAATCTCAAAAACATGATCAATGTAAATGAGTGGAGGAAAACATTTTTCTACAAAATTGTCAACTTAAATGTTGGCCAACTGTCATTTAATTATTACTGAATAATTGTCTGCATCGAGCTGGAGAACATGGATGGATAGAATTTAAATTATATGTATTTTTTTTATTTTTTTAAAATCCTGTTTTGATTGGTTTCCTGACAGATTGACGTTTTCACCAGTACAGTTTTGTTCATTCTTTTCTTTCTTTTGTGGTCTTATTCTCAGACCTCGCCAATCTGCATTATTGGTCATCACTAAAGGGTTTCTCAGTTTGAGATCCGTTATAAAAGATCCGAACTTGAGTTTCACTATCATTGATTCAGATATCTACTTTGTGCTTAAAACTTGTCCAATTCACATAAACTAAAATGGTCTCTAAACTCTGAAGAATGCAAGTATAATTACTATTAGTAACTATTTTTCTGTTTTAAAATGGTTGTTCAATTTAAATTTTTATATTTTATTACATATTGCACCAATACTGAAATTTTAAACTAAAAAATCATTGGTGTCTAAAGTGAATTTTTAAACTTAATAATCATTTCGAATAGAGAGAGTGATTAATACTAACTATTTTAGATTTCGACCAAATAAAATTTTTTACAAGATAAAACTCTCTCAACAAATACATTCATTACATTTCAAACCATTATGGTGGTAGTGATGATCTGCGATCTTTTTAGTCGAAGAGACGGAGACAATAAAGTCACATTTGCAAAAAAGAAAGATTAGAGCTCATCACGTTATTCTATGATCAATTAAAGTGCTACAAAAAAAATTGCAATGTACTTTCATCGTAGCAAAGGTAGTAACTTGACAGTACGTGGTAAGCAGCGCCTTGCAAAAATTCTCATTTCCTACGGCTAGAAATCATCAAATTCAAAATTTCATTTACTAAAAACTATAAAGTGAGCTGTTAAGTAGGATTCAAGTCATTTATGCAGTATTTCGTGTAGCAATCAAAGTCCAATACAAAGTCATAAGCATCCTCTAGCAATTAGGTATTGGAAGCACAATTTGAACTCTAGCATTGACTTCTCATTTTGATGAGTTTGCTTGATTCATTTCATCATTTGATTATCCATTAATCATTGCACACAGGCAAGACAAATACAATGAACTCCACCTTTACATGATTGCAAGTAGATAAAAGGGAAATATATACTAACAATCACATGAGTTGTAAGAACATAACTATGAGAAACTTAAAATCATGGTGACAGAAGTAAAAACAAGAAGGGAAAAAAAATCATCATCATCCAGCGTTCTAGTCAAGGAGGGGGAAAAAAAGTTTTCAAAATTATAATAATAATAAATTAATAATAATCTGTTGTGAATTCTTCCCCCAAACTTAGCACTAAAACTGAAGATCAAAGCTTGAGAGATCTCAAGGAGAAGATGGGGGTTAAAGCTAATGTGATCTTAGGTGCAGGGAAAAGACCAGAAACACCACAACTAGACACCATCAAAAGCAATGAAAAGATGAGTAAATTATCGACTTTGAACTTTCATTTTTTTTTTTTATTCGAATCGTTCTAAAACTGAAAATCCAAACTCTAGAATCGTCAAAAAAATAAAAAAATAAAAAAATCCCATTAGCAACTGAACAACTCAGCATATGGAGGCCGGGGTAAATACTCCAAGTTTTGAGCAAATTCAACTGGATCCCTACACGTGGTTACCAACAGTCTGCTGCCAGCGTGTGAGGACATGGGGAAGTTAATGAAGATATGGTCCAAAATTCCAAATCATCAATTAAAAACCTCCTCGCTCGCAAGAAACCGAAAAGCTCCTCTGACAAATCCAAGAGAGTACATGTCATCATCTTGTCAGAATACTTCTTCATGTCTTCCCATCTGTCGCAAGTAAGAGAAATCAATAAATCTTCCATGATCTTTCTTATGTTGCAGGGGTCACCTATTCGCACCCAGACAATATTGCCCTCGAAAAGTCGGCGTACTGAGGACTAGTACTAGCATCACCACTCAACCCACGAAGACCTACAACCCTGAGCTCTTTTCCCTGATCTAAGACACGCGAAATCAAATTTTCATTGACCAATCCCCCTGCCCCAGCTTTGAATGCGAATCAAGTCTGCTTCTGAAGTTCTGTGGATGGGTTCTCAAGATCCTTCACGATTTGCCCCAAGGAATAAACTTGTAGTTTGAAATCCAATTCTGACCCATCTTCCATCCGGGATGAAACAGGGGAGGGCAGGGGACGAACAAAACAGAGGAATTCCAAAGGGAAATAAGAGGCTTCATCATCTTCCTGACAAGCACAGGCAGTTGAGTTTCTGAATCAGTGCAACCAAACTCCTAAATTGTGACTGAAAAAAAATCAATTTCGGCAAACAGGCCTTTTACAATTCCCTGGTTCGGTCGAAACCTGAGGGAGATTGACTTTTCTTCTTCTTCCTTGAGTTGATGCGTTAGAGTTAATGATTTATCACCAAAACGTTTGTCCTAGGTCATAGTTCCTTTTTAAAACGAACTTGGTTTTGATGAACTTGGCTGCTCTTTAAATGTTCTCTCTGTTTATCAATTCTTCAAGGGAAAAGGGCCAGCAACCAGAAATAATCCCATAAAAATGGCGACCTCTTCATCCGTCAATGGTTTAGGAATGTTCAACAGTTCAAGAACTAGGATTATTTCACCTCAATAAAATCTGCTATATATGTAGAACTCTTTCATAGCTAGCCTTCATAAAATTAAGCTGCACACTCCATGCTGGAATTTTGATGTCCAGAAATATCATCAAATTGTCCAAAAAGATTTTCTTTTTTTTCCTGTTCAGGAGGCATATATAGTTGGAGCCTGGCCGTTCTCTATTTATTCAGTAAGTGTTGGGTGCAGGGGCAAATTTAAGTTTCGGATTATGGAACTATGAAGAATGACCCCATTGTTTTGGCCTTTTGGGCATGTTAATGAGATTTGCGACTTATTTTATCTTCTTATTGGATATTACTGATAGTGGTCGGAGTGTGTACATTGATAACAATCCCCAAACTAGATTCGACCGCAGGGCCAAAAAGCGAAACCTTTTGAGATCCAAATGTAGTGAGTATTTTGGAGTCATTTTTGGTGGTTATTAAGCATTTAAGGTTAGGGTCTAGTTTAGAGATTTGACACATCATTTCTTACATTTTTCTTGTTATTTTTTTCATGTACGTATCACTGAGTTTTTGCCCAAAAAAATGGTTCCCAAACCTGAGAAGACAGAACTACGCACCGGCAGGTAGGGATGCCAGAAATAGGCATGTCGGATTCCAGAAATCCGACTTTAATATAAAACGGATTCCTAAAAACCGAATTATGTTGAATTAGAAACTAACCATTTCTTAATAACATTTTGGCATTAAATCGAATTTCAAGAATCCGAGTTCTAAATAATAAAATATTATTTTAATTAAGAAATTTTAAATTACTTACGAAAATTAAAAATAATTTACAAATCGGAATACAAAAATTCGATTTTAGTAAAAACAAATTTTGGGAATCCGAGTTGTGCCTGGATTACAAAGTCGGATTTTGAGAATCCGAATTTAAACAGAACACTTAAAAAAAAAAACTGGACTTTGTTTTAGCTAGTCCAAACCTGTACCAACAGCCAAAAACCAGATTTTACCAAGAAAATCAACACAAAATAGCACAAAACGAAACTACATACTAATTTAAACATAATAGTTGTCTTAAAAATATAGAAGAGTTACAAATTCAAACTCCAAATCCTAAAGAAATTCAAATTACAAGGTAAAATTCAAACCCAAAGTAAGTTCAAAATAAAAGGCAAAATGTTGCGCTTCCAATAGAATTCAAGGCGAAATATACAATTTGGTTTTTGTACGCTTCCTAGAGCCTATCCGCCGTGCTTTCTTTTTTTGGGAGGATCCTTTAGGAGGGGGTATAGCCTCTTCTTCGCTCTTTTCCTTGCTTTCTTCGTCGCTCTCTTTCTCTTCTTGTCCTTCTTCCTCGTCGACTATAATGGGATCACGAAATGGAACAATTCTCCGATCTGCGCTTGATTGGCCATAGTCGGTTTGTAAGGCACGAGGCATGTGTTTCTTTCCACCTCCAATGTTCTTTTTGGGAGCTTTTCTTTGTGGGGGTTGCGGCTGTTTG